GCCACTCCAGCTAGCCACCAGCTGTGGCCCTGGCTGGGCGTGCATCGCAGCAGTTTCGCTGCTTTCGCACAGCCTTTCCCCTCTTTTCTCTTTACTTGTGCCGCTATTTGCTGTTTCTCTCGCAGGCAAGCTCATTCAGGCGGTGCCGTGGCACCATCGCACCCGCGAGACAGCCGCCGCATCACGACTCGCTGTTTGAGTCAGATGCGGCGACTGGCATGCTGCTTCCCCTCACCCTTTCTCTCTACCTTGACATCTTCACATATTCGACCCTTTTCACCTAGTTTTCCCTGGCTTCATCGCAGGAACGGGCACCGGTGTGGAGAACAGCAGCAGCAGCAGCAACAGCAGCAGCAGCAGCAGCAGCGGCAGCGGCAGCAGCAACAGCAGCAACAGCAGCAATCCATCCAGTTTTACATGACCATCTGCGCACGAGGACGTGCGCTTTTTGCTGATGGCGGGGCAGATGTAACATGAGTTAGCGCAGAGTTAGCTCAGGAGCCTATCGACAGCTTTGGCATGCTGCGCGTAAGCGCCTGCAAACGTTATACAAGTTCGTTATGAGGCAAAGCATGCAGCGAAGGAAGCTTCTCTGAAGCTTCCTTTAGTGCACGCGTGGGGCTGACTAGCTCTGCCAGCCGCAGCGGGGTGCTGTAATGACCTCTGGGTGTTCTCCTAACTTAGCCCCTATCAGGTTGCGGACTGTGACGCGATAGAGCTCTCGTGACAGAGGATTATTAGTCAAAATTCAGTTCAAGTAAATAGATTTCCTCGTTTTCCCAGTCCAAAGAACTGTCCCCCACACGGGCCCTCGCCCCTTTCCATTGCAAGCTCACAAGGGCCGCTCACCGCGGGGTGCGGCCGTCCCTGGCTACCTTGTGCCTGCCCCCGTTCTCCCCTTAAATCTGCTATTATGGTAATGTGTCAGACTACTTGTTAGATTAGGCTAAATAGGCTCGGATTAATAGTTTCCGTCCTACTTATTTCGTCCTCGCTCCTTATATCTTCTAATTTATCTATCCGTATTATCAGCATTTACTTGTAGTGCTAGTGCACTACAACTTCCCCCTCCGGTCGAAAATTTAAGTCCCCTGAAATGT